GAAAGATTTTTAATTTTGATTACTGAAGGTGTTTTGTTTACAGAACAAGGCCACCTCTTCCTAGCCAGGCCAAACTGAAATCAATGGCTGCTGCCTCACGCTGCAGTTCCATGGCTGAGGCTCTGCCTTCTTTCTCACCATGAGAGCCTGGGTTTGGTGAGTTTGGTCCGTAAATCAAGCCCTTTCTGGTTTGATACTGGGTACTTCTGAAATAGCAGCAATTTGTTCTAGCCAAAATGTGGTGATTAGATTTAAAAGGGCTTTTTTTTTTGAAGGAGCTCAATGCTTAAAAGTCAGCTTAATTAAAAGGCTAACATCCAAGACGTCTGCATGTGTGCACGTGTGTACGTGTGTGCATACGTGTGTGCGTGTACGTGTGTACGTGTACGTGTGTGCATGTGTGTGCATACGTGTGCGTGCGTGTGTGCATACATGTGTGTGCGTGTGGGTGCATACGTGTGTGCGTGCGTGTGCCTGTGTGCATACGTGTGTGCATGTACGTGCGTGTGGGTACGTGTGTGCATACGTGTGTGCACGCACACACGTGCGTGTTTGTATTTGAAAGGCCTTCATGTGTTTGTTTTTATGTTTGTTTCTCTAGCCTAGGACCTTGACTTTTCTTTTTTGAGCAACAGTTTTTTTCTGTTCAGTTGACTGAGTTCTGTTATTACCTGATTGACTACAATAGCGATTGCAGCAGAGCCTCCTCTAGGGTTTTTAAGGAAGAGTGTAGTTTAGGCACTTAGAAATATCTTTGTTTACAACTGTTTTTTAAGTGCACTGTAAAAGCATCATGTTGTCTAGCCTAGAAACAATTCCCCTTTTTTGGAGACCCAGGATTCAGTGTGGGCTCTACCCAGAACTCAGAGATCTGGTTAAAAGAAGAAAAACAGGGAGTCTCTAAATAAAACTGTCCTTCTTACATAATCCAGTAGTAAATTTCCATAATTTTACAGTTGAGTTGGCGTCCGTCTTCACTCTCCCTTCAGCACCATCAGACATTTTCTCTCTGTCCCTTGTGATGTAAATTTTGCTGTTTGACTTTCACCTGACTTGTTTCCTTTAATATGCAAATTTAAGGCTATTTAGCTGACAACTGCCTAGGGTTGTGAAACAGGTTATCAAGAATCTGAAAGTCTAAGACAGGAAAAAAGAAGGTTTTATGAATCTGTAAGATGTACTTCTATCAACATGCCTAATATGTCTGTGTATTTATGTGTTGTGTACACAATGTTTCACTACCAAAAATATAAAAGAGCTCTATCTAATTAACTCAAAGACAAATAAAAGCACTTAAGTCAAATACTTTATTGGAAAAAAGGAAAGACTAGTGAAATACTCTTTCAAATTGACATAAGTAAAATCTTTAATAAATTATCTACCTTTACAATTCTTGGTAAAGTAATATTAGAAATTTCTTAAGAATTGCCAGCATGTATTTTTGATTTGCAATTATTAATCAAGCAATTTCATACTTACCCCTGCCAAATACTGTAAGTTGTCAAAATTTGGCAGAGGGTTTATAAGACTATAAACCCAGCCCAAAACAGAATGATCTTTGCTTGTGTAATCTTTAATAAATAAGACATTGGTATTGGTTTAATGAATATGGCTGCACCTTGATTTAGAAATATTATCATAACTTCTAATCTTATGGCTTTAGGCAGTCTAGTGCACAAGAATAAGGATGTTTGTTTTAGGAAAGACTATTTATTGTCTTTGTTTCAAAGATAAACTATAAACTAAGTTTCTCCCAAAGTTCAGGAATGAACAAGGACAGCCTGGAGGTTAGAAGCAGGATGGAGTTAGTTAGATCCATTCTTTTTCACTGTCTCAGCTATAATTTTGCAATGATGGTTTTATAACTTTAAATCATGACTATTGCAGTATTCATAAATAATCTAGGTAAACAAGATAATTAGGTAAATGTAATGGATAAATACTTCTAGAAAATTTTGTCAAAATTCAGAATAAAAAGTTATATTAAATAATAGATACTTCAATATTAGAGATTTTTCAATTAAAGTATATTGTAGAAAAATATTCTTGCAAAAAAAAAAGTGTATCCTTTTTTAAAAAAAAATGGTGAACAAGTTTTACCTAATTTAAAGTTTATTTAAAGGTTATATTAAAAACAAAGCAAAGGAACCAGGAAATAAGAGAGATGTAAAGAAAGTTATAAAAATAAAGAGGTATTTTTGTGGTAAGAAAGCTTAAAGAGAAATAATTTCATGTGATAAAGAATCTTGTAAGATAATTTTAGTCCTAAAATACAATGACTGGTTGTTTAGGACAAAAGAGAAAGTCCAGGCATGTCATGAATGGTCTGTGTAAGTCACAACAAGGGGATTTATTTAAAAGAAAAAACAAAAATTTTTATATGATCAAGTTGTTTATAAGCAATGGGTAATTATAATGGTCTTTCTAGAGATTAAGCTTCATGTAAAGAAACCACTTATACACTAAATTATTGGTAAGAACAATTAAATTTTCTTAAGGGGTTGATTTACTCTTAACAAACTACAACAGATTTCAATTTTTTTAACCAAAACTTCAACTTTTATTGCATCTCACCAGTTTTTGGCTTTTAAAGGGCACATTTTCTCAAAGGTCTAACGAAATATTTTCTTCCAACAACAATGCAGAAGGTCTTTCTCTTGCCTTTCAGTAAATGACCTAACAGATTTAACGTTTTATTGAAATAATTCCTATGCCATTATTATTAAGTTTGGTTTGCTTAGGAAAAGGATGATGTTTACGTTTTTTACTTGAAGTTATTACATTTGTGTGTCTTCCTGATGTGCTTTTAAAGTTCTGTGACGTTGAGTTACAGGGCTTTGACTCCTGGTCTAAAAAGACGCTGAGTCCTGCCAAATTTTCAAACACTGACAGCAATTAAAGCCCCATCTTTGGGCCCAGTAGAAGATGCCAGTAAAAACCATCTGCACTCCTGAGACTGAGTGATGGAAATTAAAGTTATTCAACTCCTCAAGGCCCAGGGACTATCTCAGTAGAGATGGGTGCATGGATTGCAAGGGCTGATTTTAAAGATAAAATAAGTGCGGTTTCTCTGTAAATTCATCATTAATATTGAAGACATACTGAAGCAAGGCCAGCATATGGGCCCCTGAGTCAAATTAATAAGGTTTTCTTGAAGCATTAACTCCTAAATTAAGATTGCAAAGGTTGTGAAAGGCTTATGGAAGGTACATCTTATGTCCTCACAGGCCCTCAGCTCAGAGGTGCTGTGACCTGAGGGACAGCTCAGGGGGTCAAAGGGACCACAGTTTTCAGGCTGGTCCTGGCATGGAGAGCCCAGTGAGGCCTCCCTCATCCTTGCCCTTCCTCCCTTCACCTGGCCAAAGGCATTCCAACATGAGGAAGTCTGGGGAACAGGGTGTGAGGGCCCTGTGCTCTGTCCTGGACACCTCCAACCTGCCCGAGGCCAATGGGCCCCCGCCCTGGGGGACGCTGCCTTGTGACTCTGAACCTAAGTCCCAGGGAGAAGGACCCCTTCCGACCAGGGGGTAGGGGCTGCTGTGCGGGCACCAGGGTGGGCTGAGTCCTGAGGATGCTGCTCTAATCACTGAGGCGTCTCCTGCACTGCAGACCTCCAGAGGCCCTCCCTGGCCATTCCGGCCTTCTGGATCCTCTTTCCTGGCTTTATTTTTTCTCCTAGTTTTTTGTCACCAGGGTGACCAGGAGGACCTGGAACGGCTCGTGGAACACAGCAGGGGCTCAATAGCTGTGTGCTGAGTGGATGGAGCCCGGCAGGGCACCGCCTCCCTCACCCAGCTCCTGGACACTCCCAGAGCAGGTCAGCAAGCCCAGGCCACAACGTCAGGAGATGCAGTGCGGCCAGCGGCACATGCCCGAGCCCCAGCTCCTGCAGCTGAGCCTGAGGGGTGCAGAGTGCTGTGTGGGGATCCCTGGTCTGCAGGGCCCTCCCAGAATACAAAGGCCTAGCCCTGGACTCTGGACTGAGGCAGGTCTGAGTGTGTCTTGAGCCCTGGACAGTGGGTGGGTGTCAGGCAGGCTGAAGCTGGGGAGGGAGCATCCAGTGCTCAGGGTCACTCAGATGCTGGCCTAGGGACCTGCACCCTCCTGATACTGCCAGGAGGGAGGTCTCCCAGTGAAGCCACACATCAGACAGGAGGCCTGGCTCTTTCTCAACACAGCCCTGCCCACCACCTGCTCCATGACCTACCCCCAGAGCTCCAGGCCGGGGTTCCAGTTCTGGTTCAGGATGGGATGTGGGCCGCAGACCTCTTCTCTTCCCTGAGCCTGCACCCCCACTCTGAGCCCCAACCTAACAGCCTTGGAAGCCTCACCCTGAGCAGGTCCCTCCAGCCCTAGGGCAGGAGGCAGGCTCTGTGCCAAAGGCTTCCCTGCCAAGGGCAGGAGGCAAGTGTGGGTGGAGTCCTCCCTTGGGCCCAGGAACCCAGGTGCCTGTAGATGCTGGTGGGGCACAGTTTGTCCCAGAAAGAAGCCCCAGGAGGTGTGATGGACACCCCAGAGGGGGAAGGGGCTGAGGTTCAGGGTTGGGGGAGGCCACCTTTCCCCAGGCACCCTGCTGTGGTGTTTGAATGCTGTACAGTGGGTGTGCAGCTCTAAAACAAATGTTGAAACATGCGGGTGCTCAAATCAGGCCAAAAGGAGGGGTGGGAACTTGGATGGTAGCAGCCCCTAGCCCTGGAACCCGCTCCTTCCTGTGAGCTTTCTGGGTCCGCAGCAGGGAGGGGTCATGGATGACCCCTCTAAGCAAGACGGCTCAGAGAAGTCTGGCCACAGCTCCAGACCTCACAGTAAGTGCCTGTTCTGGGAACCGCCCTCCCACCCTCTGCAGGGATGCCCTCCTTCCAGGTGCCAGGTGTTTGCTCCAGTCACGGAGGGGGCTGCAGCCCCCATGACCAGGGCCCATTCACAGTCACAGACCTGGTTCAGACACAGCTCGGATCCCATCCCACCTGGGCTGCGCAAGGACAGAGGTTCTCTCTGGCTTATCAGCAGGTGTTTATTAAGGGCCTATGCTGTGCTGGGGATGCCATTGAGGGAGCCCCACGAAATGTGAGGGCTGGCCCCTCCCTCCAGGCCACCAGGCCCCATCTCTGGAGACTCCCAGGACCTCACACCAACCCCTGTCCTCCAGCTCCGTCTGCTCCATCTACTTCATCTCAGCTTTTGCCGGCCCCCCCTGCTGGAGGGCCCGGGTTATGACCAGACCTGGCTCTGGTCATAGACGGGGTGGGCAGGGAAGGCTTCCTGGAGGAAGAGGTGCCTGAGCACAGGGTTAAGGGTGGGGAACACTGGGGCATGGAGACAGCAGCAGTGGAAATTGGAGGGGCTGTCTGCAGGCTGAACTGTGTCGCTAGAGCCAGCCTGCCAGGTGGTAGTCCTGGAAAGGGCCATGGGAGGGTCAGGGTGGGGGGTGGGGGTGGGAGGCAGAGCAACATGGCCAGACCTGTGTTAGGACACGCCCTCAGGTACCAGGACAAGCTCCCATTGGGCAGAGTGTGTGAGGAGTGGCACAGGGGCCTGGGGCACCACACCCAGTGGGGGCTGCAGCGGGGCCTCCAGGAGCCTACAGCTGGCTGAGACCCCAGAGCAGCAGGCTGAGTATGGTGAGTGGCGCCAGGGTGGCGGCAGCCGGCTTCAGGGCCCAGGCCCCGCTGGCGTTGCACAAGTTGGTGTCACAGCACGTGATGTTCTTTTTGCCCACGTAGTAGTCCTGAGAGTCATCCTCGCAGTGTGAGCTGCAGCCTTTGCTGATGACGGTCAGGAGGCCTATGGCACCTGGGAAGCGGCAGACCAGGGGCTGGCACTGTCCTGCGTGCTCACCACGCCTCCTCCTGTCCCCACCCTGCCTGAAGCTCTGGAGTCTCCCTGGGCTGGCCTCAGGATCACAAGCAGTGCCAGGGCCTGGTCTCGGACCCATCCCCATCCAGGGCAGGTGGACCACCCGCTGAGCACCAGAAATGGTGTGAGTGAGCCAGCCAGGCACAGGGATGGGGGAGGGACAGACGGTGGAGGAGTGGCAGATGGAGGAGGGTGGATGGCGGAGGGGGCTGGAGGGACAGATGCTGGGTGATAGGTGGGGGACAGGTGCGGGACGGGTGGGGGATGACTGGAAGGAAAACAGCACGTAGGTGTGGGGAGATGGCCAGAAGGATGAATAGTTCGGTGGCAGAGACCTAAGCTCGGGGCTCTCGTCCCTCACTCACGGATGCGCTTGGTCCAGCACTGCGTCTCCGACTCGGTGCAGTTTTGCACCTTCAGGCAGTTCTCGTTGCTCACTTGGTCCCTGCAGGTGTAGCACTGCAGGGCAGAGCCTGTGGGGTGGGTGGGAGAGGCCTCAGAAGCTGCCTGGAGGGGGACTCCCAGCAGGGGCCTGCCAGCCTCATCTTCTCTGCAGGGCGGAGGGCGAGGCTGACAGCAGGGTCTGGGCCCTTCTGGAGAGCGCACACTGTGTGCTCCGACAGGCCTTTGCAGGGCACGAACTTCACACCCCTCCCAGGGTGCCCGGCAGCTGCCATCTATGCCCCAGGCCCCTGCCTGCCAGGGTAAAGCTTTGTAAAAACACCTGTGCTCCTGAGAGAGAAGGGCTCACCCCATTTGCCAGTGGCCTGGCTGGACACTTGCAGACAGGGGATGCATGAAGCTTTTCTGTGACTTCCTCAGGCCTCTGCCATGGAGGCCCACCTGGCCTTGTCACCAGCAGCCTGTCTAGGCTAAGCCCGACCTCTCAGCCTCTCTCAGGCCTCCCGGGTCAGGTCTTGCTCTGCCCCTGGGGTGGCCCTGCTGTGAGGTGGTCACGGCCACGGTCTCCGCCTATGCAAGCAGGTGCCCCCACAGTCCTTGGCGACCCCTCCTCACCCTCAATTCCCCCTCACCATCTTCAGGGCCCTCCTCAGCACCTCTGAAATATTGCCCTGTTTAGCCCCTCGGTGGCTGTGTTGGTGACCCTGCTTTCCAGAAGAGGAAGCTGCGGCCATGGGGGTGACTGACCCCGGGACCCTGGGCTGGGAGGGACCCACACTGAGCAAAGCAGTGCAGGCCAGTAGCCCCCTGGGACCCTTGGAGGCTGCAGTGCTGGGACTGGGCTGGGCGTGGGTCCTCTCACGACACCCCCAGCACCTCCTCATCATGCCCTCAAAGGGACTTCATAGCCTGAGGCTTCCTGCCCCTGTGCCTCCCGGCTTTTTATTAGCATCTCTGCCCATCCATCTGTCAGTCTCTCTGTGCCCCCAGGAGCCAGGCCCTGCCCCACTGCATTGAAGGATGCGACTCCATGCTGTCCCTGTAAGCCCCGGTCACTGGGGATGGCGGGGAGCACAGGTCACTGCCTGGTTGTACCAAGAGCTGCCCTGGAGGAGCAGAGGCTGGAGTGGGAGCCTCACCCTCTCCTCTCCCTTCCTCTTTCCTCTCTCTCCTCTCTGAGTGCCTCCCTGACTCACCCCTGCTCCCTTCCCTGCTGGGGACCAGTCAAGGCCTCACCTGGCTTCAGGGCCAAGCCGGTGACCAACAGGGCAAGCAGCGCAGCCTTCATGGTCACAGGTGGGCAGCAGTGGAGCAGGCCTCGGGCAGCTTTATATGCCTCAGCTGGGGAGAGGCTGGACTGCTCAGGGTCAACACCCGTGGGCTCCCTGGAGCCAGTGAGGGCCCTGGGGCTGGGCATATCCTGTCTCCTCCCTGAACCTGCGCCTCCCTCTCCCTTTGTCCTTCTTTCCACCTCCGGAGGGCAGAGCCTGCCCAGGGCCATGGCTCAGCAGGCCCAGGCCATGGGCTGAAACCTCCTCAGATCCCAGACTACACCCCTCCCGCCTCCCCGACCTCAGAGCAGGGCCAGATCAGGGAGACCCTTTCTCCAGGCTCCTGCAGGCCTCAGCCTTCCAGCTAAGGACGAGGCACCTCCCTGGGCCCTGTGTCCCGCAGACGCTGTGCTGCCCTCCTGGGGCCCATGGCCCATGGGGTGATGAGCCTTGGTCACAGCGTCACAGACAGATCAGCAGCAGGTGCTACAAGGGAGAGGGAAAGGGGCTGTTGCAGGTGTGAACCAAAGGCAACCTTCGAAGGGCTGCCATCTGATTGGACCCCTCCTCACGGCCAGGGCTTTCCAAAGTGAACCTGAAAAGCTGGTTCAGGACATGACAGCAAAGTGCTGGACGGCTGCATTACCCCCTCCCTTCATAACTCTGGAAGAGCCAGCGTTAACAGCGGGGACCTGCAGTCCCATGAGAGCCACTGTCCATCTATTTTCTCGGAGGCCTGCTACCTGGAGGCTTCATCTGATGCCAAAACCTTGGTCTCCGCAACCCCTTATAACCCAGACACTCCTTTCTGTTGATAACTCTTGCAACCAGTTGCCAACCAGAAAGTGTTAAATTCACCTGGAACCTGGAAGCCCCCGTTCGAGCAGTCCTGCCTATCTGAGCCGAACCAGTGTAGATCTTAAGTGTACGTGATTCCTGTCTCATGTTTTCCTAAAATGTATCAAATCCAGCTGTCAAGCTGTGCCCTGACCACCTCAGGCACCTGTTCTCAGGTCTCCTGGGGGCTGTGTCATATTTGGCTCAGAATAAATGTCTTCAAATATTCTACAGAGTTTGGCTCTTTGTTGACACAGGGGACACTGTTGGACAGGCTCTCATTTATGGGGCATTGGATGTGGGACCTGGGCTAGGTGCTCTACACTCAGGACCTTGAGTGATCCTCAGCTTGGAACGTTAGCTGCAAGGGAGTCGGGGAAGTGCAGCTTTCAGCAGCCTCTGCAATAGCGGTAGCAGGGGCTGGGCCCCAGGCTGGATGGCCTCTGTCTGCGCCAGATCCCCTTTCCCTCCTGCTCCATGTCCCGGGAGGCTGGTCTGGCTGCCACAGGCAGGAGATGAGAGGGTGGAAGAGACAGGGTCAGGCTGGCTCTCCTGCCAGCTGGCTGGGGAGTGGTGGCAGTGCCTACAGCCCTCTAGAGTAAGCCCAGGTCCTGTCAGCCAGGCTTCTCCGTCCCCTGGGCTCTGGCCAGCCTCTGGTCACTGTGCTCGCCCCCTCATTCCTCCAAGCCTGGAGTGCCAGTGCCTTCCTGCTGCTGCTGGCTTTGAGGGGCATTCATGGCCCCTGTTGTCTCCTTCAACCTGACCCCTGGCTTTGTACATGGGCCCTGAGTTAGACGACTCTGCCTGGCAACCCTCTTCAGATGCTGGCGGGTCCACCATGGCCATGGTCCTGCCTGCTGAGTGTCTGTCTGGAGGGAGGCAGGCCCCTCCTCCCTTGACACCCCCCCATCCCCACGATGGGGTGTCTTGGGGGAGAGAGGCCCCTCCTCCCTTGACACCCCCCCATCCCCACTGATGGGGTGTCTGGGGGGAGACAGGTCCCTCCTCCCCTGACCCTCCCCCATCCCCACTGATGGGGTGTCTGGGGGAGATAGGCCCCTCCTTCCCTGATACCCCCCATCCCCACTGATGGGGTGTCTGGCGGGAGACAGGCTCCTATTCCCCTGACCCCCCTGTCCCCGCTAATGGGGTGTCTGGGGGGAGACATGCCCCTCCTCCCCTGACGCCCCACTGTCCCCACTGATGGGGTGTCTGGAGGGAGGCAGGCCCCTTCTCCCCTGATGCTCTCCTGTCCCCTCTGATGGGTTGTCTGGCCTTCATTCCTACCTCCTCTCTCGATTTTGCCCCCAAAAAGGGCTCTGGCACATTTTAGGAGGTGGTGAGGATGTCGTAGGAAGGAAAAGTCTTAGGGAATTGGCCCCTCTCCCAGCAGGTCTGGACTGTCCCAGAAGGCTGGCAGATGTTTATGGGTGTTTGTGGGACATCAGCTCCCACTGTCTCACCTTGAGTCTGGGATCCAGGTAACACTTCTGATGGGGGCAGGGACGATGTGAGACCCGACCTCCCTGGGACTCAGTGGCACCAGGAATCTCCCTTTGGGCTTCCCCTGGGACCCAGGTCAGCCCCTGTCCCTCTGGGGTCGCTCCTGCCCAGCTCCCTGGCACCTGTGGGATTGGGCTCTTTTCCGTGGAAACTGTCTCTTCTCTGGCAAGTGAAGAGTCCAGGCCTAAGAGGGACAGGCCTTACTGGAGGCCATGCAGGGTGACTGAGGCCTCTGCAAGGCCCCTTCCTTGCTCAGTCTGCCCACCCAGAGCTTTCCCTCTGGACATGCCCTCCAGCCCATGTCCTGTGAGCTCAGGATAAGGGCCTCACCTGGTAATTAACTGCTTCCATGTGTGGCTGACTGCCTCTGTCCCATGCTTCCTCTGCCCCCAGCCCCCAGCTCACCGGGACCCTGTCCACTCCTGCACAAGAGGTTTTCTTATCTGTCTCTGTATTCAAGGTGCCAGCCTGGAACTTTCCGTCCTCAAATATTTACAGGTGTGTAGGTGTTTGCTGATCTGATTTGATATATGGTGATTTCTGTAAGGCAGTGGTTCTCACGTGGGTGACTCTGCACCCCCAGGGAATGTTTGGTGATGTCAGCAGGCATCTCTGCTTGTTCCAGCTCAGGGGTGCTGCTGGCCTGTAGTGGGTGCAGGCCAAGGAGGGGGCAGCACACAGGACCCCCACCACAGAATCCGCCAGCCCAGACATCAGCCACGCTGAGGGTGAGGCTGGTCTCAGGATGGCCTCATGGCCATGGTTCACATACGGAAGACCACGGCTGACATTCCTAGAGCCCCACCCCTGACCACAGGTTGGGATCTGAACTCAGCCCCAAACTGAGCCCTCACTGTGGTCAGTCTGAACTCTAACCCTGGTTACCTAACAAGGCCTGGTTATGGTCCCACCCTGTGTCCTAAGACTAGTCACACCCTGAGCCCTGGCCTGGGCCACTGACTGAGCCCTGATCCTGATCACACTCAATCCCTGGCTCTGGCCACTGACTGAGCCCCGATCCTGATCACACTCAATCCCTGGTTCTGGCCACTGACTGAGCCCCGATCCTGATCACACTCAATCCCTGGCTCTGGCCACTGACTGAGCCCTGATCCTGATCACATTCAATCCCTGGTTCTGGCCACTGACTGAGCCCTGATCCTGGTCACAGAATGAACCCTGACTGTGGTCACACATTGAGCCCTGATCTTGATCACACTCAATCCCTGGATCTGGCCACTGACTGAGCCCTGATCCTGATCACACTCAATCCCTGAATCTGGCCACTGACTGAGCCCTGATCCTGATCACACTCAATCCCTGGTTCTGGCCACTGACTGAGCCCTGATCCCGGTCACAGAATGAACCCTGACTGTGGTCACCCTCTGATTTTTGACCCTGGTCACAGGCTAATCCCTGTCTCCTGTTGTTCACACTTTGGCTGTACACTGAATGCAGCCCTGGAGCCTAAACCGAGCCTGGATCTTCCGGCATTTGTCCTGTCTGGGAAGTTCTGCCACAAGGGGCATGGCTCCCCACAGACCCCCATGCAGTGGACAGGTTGATGTGAGTCATAACTCCGGTCTCCAGTTCAGATGGCTCTGTGTGAGTTAAACTCTTTCTCTATTGCAATTCCCCTGACTTGATAAATCGGCTCCGTTTGGACAGGGGTTGAAATGAACCCAGTGGGCAATGACACACTAGCATATTTTATTCCTTCTCTTCTGCTCTTTCTGACTCTCCCAAGGGCCACAATGGACTTGGTCCTTGAGAAGAGGCACAAGGCTCCCTGAGTAATGGTAGATGCAGCTGGGGGAGCCCCATGCATCTTGGGAATCAGGCCCCAAGATGCATGGAGTTCCCTCCAGACAGGCCAATCCCCACTGCCCACGAGCACTGTCCAAGTCCTGGGAGACCATGTGACCCCAGGTCCCTGAGGTGGTAGCAGGGTCACACACCAGGGATGGAACCAGCCTTCCTGGGGGGACTTTGCTGTCCCAGGTGACCCTGCCACGGGAGCTCCACTCCCATCCAGTGGCCCTGGGTTCTAGTCCTGCTATGCGCATGGCATGCTCAGTGACTCGGTCTCCTCCTCTGTGAAACATCTGACTTTGGCAGGCCCGAATTCCCGCCCCACAGAATCATGTGCAATAAAAACGGTTAGTGCGGCTTCTGTGTGACTCACCCTTGGCCTCCTTCCTCTGCTCTGCAGGTTGCCTCTCGGGACTCCAGATTTTCCTGTTCACTCTTGACCTTCCACCCACCCATCCCATCACCACGGGCCCAAAGCAGCTGGGTTCCCCAGAGATCTTGCCTCCCACCCAGTGCAGGGGTGAGGCCGGGGCTAGGGCAGCCGAACCCGGCTCTGGGGCTTCTGGGAGCCAACTCACCTGCGGGGAGTCCCACCACCACCTCCTGGGGCCCCACACAGTCCCATGCAGTAACACACATCCCTGTGTGTGAATGTTTTTATTTCATGCAGCGTTAATTAAACAAAATAAAGTTAGCATTATCACTGGCAAAGCCATGCTGGGGTCAGCTTCCAGCATCTTTCCTTTGGAAAAACGCCCTTGCAGATCAGGAGGAAAACCCACTAGAGCTCAGATCACGGGGTGGCGGGGGGCACTGAGTGCCAGGCTCAGATCACAGGGTGGTGGGGGGCATTGAATGCCAGGGTCAGATCACGGGGTGGCGGAGGGCACTGAGTGCCAGGCTCAGATCATGGGGTG